GATATGTAGTCTCTTAAGTTATAGAAAGTGTCCTGTTAATTTCTATGTTTATGCTTCTTTGCTAATCTGGTTATATGTGGTTCTATTTGTATGTAAAATTTAGGGCTTATGATTTCAATTGAATTTTTGAACTTGATTCATATTAGTTAATTTTTTAACATGATTTGCTTTCTCAGTCTAGGTGCAAGATTGCAGCTGAGTGCTAGCTTGGATGCACATTTTCTGATCAAAATGATTAAGAAGTCAGGATCCTGATTATTTTTATAACTATTGTTTCATTGGTGAAGATTAATGTAGTATTGTTTCACCTGTTCTGTGCCTCATTGATGACGTAAAGCTAAATTGTTATTACTTTACAGGAGGTTCCTGCTTAGGTTCGAGATAAAAAATAATTATTTTAAAAAAAAAATACCCTAAAAAAAAAAAAATAGTGAAAAGAATATCTCAACAAAAAGAGAGAGAGAAAAACAGATGAAAAAAAAAGGGATAGATATATAATAAACTGAATAGTCTAAAAAAGGAACAAACAAATTTGATATTTATAAGAAATTACCCAATCAAATCTCATTATTTTGGAGTTCCCTCACTTTAAAGACCCGTCACTTCAAAGTGCCTCATCCAAACACATTGCTAATGATTTTGCCAACTTGGTGCCAGTTGAACTAGAAAAGCCGTGGTCAAATGTACAAGAGGCACGGACTGCCTAATTGATGCTTGGATATGAAGCCAGCATTTTGGCAAGAAAGAATACAACCTGTTGATTTGTTGATCCCACATCATTTATGACTCATTCCATTTGCCAGCTTGGGTCCAGTCACCTTGCTTCACTTTGACACCATGGACCAGAAAGAAAATAAATAAAAATTCTTGGGAGGGCTAACAAGTAGCCTAGGCGTAGAGGCATATATGGGTTCTTTCCTTAGAAAACAAATATCTATTTTCTGGGTATTTTTCCATGTTTAGTTTTAAACGCTTGCTTTGGGAGTTCCTTCACTAGTGATCTCATGTTCAAATTCCCATGACATTGGTAGTATGAGAAACCTCCTCTCCTTATAATTTAGACTATCGCTTATATTAAAAACTTGAGGAGAAGGGGAAGTTGGAAGAGTAAATACCAGATGTGTGGATTGAAACCAAATTAGTAGTTGGAAGGTTGGAAAGAAGAGTAAGTCAGTCATATTCATGCTCCGTCCAAAAATGCTATAAGCTTATAACAACATTAAATTAATTACTAGTCCCTTGGCGCATTTTATTTTATTTTTAGAATTAAGAAAATATAATATCGGTAGTTATGTTTCATAAAAGTATGACATATTATCTGATTTTGTTTTTAATTTTTTTTAATATAAAAGAATGTGAATTTACCATATTATTCTCATTTAATTTATGATTTTAATTCTTCATGTTTGAATTAACAAGTACATTTTATGATATTTTGAATGTTTCATCATTCTCTGTCTTTTGCTTTATATATATATTAGCTTCTCCGCAAGCGTTTCTGCGCATGCGAGAGGTTTTTTTTTTAATTTAAAATTTATTTTAAAATTAAAAAAATATAATGGGTAGTTGTGTTCCCTAAAAATAGAATTCATTATCTAATTTTTCTTTTAATTTTAATTTTAATATGAAAAAGTGTGAATTTATCATATTATCTTCATTTAATTAATAATTTCAATTCTTAATGTTTACATTAACCAAAAGCATTTTCTTATATTTTGAATGTTTCATCATTCTATGTACTTTGAAAAATATATGTATTTTTTTAAAAAAAATTAAAAGATGATTGGAAATTCAAACTTTGAAAATAAAAATATAATTAGATTAAAAGTTAAAAATTAAGGCCCACCAACCATGACCCACTACGACCTTACTGTCATCTATGTAGACCCCACAACCATGGCCCACCACTACCTCATTCTTAATTCGACTCTGAAGTGGCAACCAATCAAACCCTATCTATAAAAACCCTTCCCGCCGCCGCCAAACCGGCAAACTCCCATGGATAATATTACAATTTAACCTACACAAAATCCCAAACCCTCGTCCGCCCTGGCAGCCACCGAAACGGCGACGCATAAGACATTCCAGCGGCCAGCCCATGGAGAATACCCACGCGCCACCGCCTCGACCTCTGTACAAGCAGAACTCGTGGTCGCCAGACACGCTCCGTGACGAGACGTGGCAGCGCCGGAAGAGCAGCTGCAGCGCGCGCCGCCCCAATCGCAGCAAAAGCGTCTCGGAAGACGATTTGGAGGAGCTCAAAGCGTGCATTGAGCTCGGGTTCGGGTTCGATTCGCCCGTTATCGACCCCAAACTGTCCCATACTTTACCCGCCTTGGAGTTTTACCACGCTGTAAATACGCAGTGCAGTAAGAGCGTCTTAACAGGTTGGTTGATATACACCGTCGGATTGATTGATTTCACCGTGGACTTTTTTGATCCGACGGATGATAATTGTTGATTTTTCTTGATATTTTGTTTCAGAAGTTGGTGATGCGGAGATGGTGAAGATGAGGTTGAGGCAATGGGCCCAATTGGTCGCTTGCGCGGTTCGGCAATCATCTTCTTCTATCTAAATCTAAAAAATATTTTCTCAATTGTAAATTATAAATTTAATTCATATTTATTTTATTTTCTATATCAATCACTCCATTTGTTGAATTTGGAAAAGTCGGGTATGTTGCTACTATAGTTATAAGATTTGAATATAGCCATATGCCTTTGGAAGTTTGGCGACTTCATCATTGTCTCCTAGGACAACTGCAAAAAAAATATCAAAACACGTGTTTCACACTCACATGAAGGAAACTTTTAGAAAGCACTCATATATGTCCTACGGGGATTGGATATATTTTGGGATTTTTTTTTTTTACATCACAATTAACATGTATCGGTCGTGTCAGTTCACCAAAGCATCGTGTTCGCTCACTTACAATTAAGTTTGAATCTTCTCTTCATAGTTTATAGTAATGTAGGATATCACATTGTCAACAAAAAACATGTTACATGAGTGAATGAATTCAACTTTTTTTCCAAGTTTGCGTTTTGATCCATGAATACAATTATTGAATTTTATAGTTCTCACACTTTGTGACACGTGACATTTTAGTCATTCTTCGTCTCTGTTTGACCATTGGTTCTCTCTAGATACACAAACATTTCTCCAAATGAAACCATAATTTCCCTTTTTATACGATGTTATCTCAATTGGTTGCAGAAAATAGCAAGGAATAAGGCTCCTCACCATTTGGAAGAAGACAAAAATTGTCATTGTGGGAAGTTGAGATGTCACAAGGGTCTTGAAGAAGTGAATCAAATTGCAGCCTTAGTAAGTGAGTTGAGCCCTAATCAAGCCTTAATCACTCAATATATGCGACAAATCAAACCCAACACTCAATTTTACATGTCAAATAGATGGAACTCCAAAGGCTATGATATTATTAGAGTGGTGATTTCCCCACTCCTTTTTCTCATACTTTATCCATTTACATTTCTTTTTTATAACTAAAAAAGGAGTGTAAGTGGATAAAATAAGAGTGGGAAAATCATTACCCTATTATTAACCTGAACTTTTAACATGTTATATAACATAACTAAATAATACCAGTCATATGACATGAAAGTTTCTATCCAAATAAAATACTTGTACAAAATATACCATTCTATAATTTCTTCATATACAAAAAGGTATGGACACATACTACTTACATCACAAGTGTTTATTCATAATTCAAATTTTACGACGTATGTTATATTTTAATTGAACAATACTTATCATTTTATCCCGTCAATGTCACGTAATTATGCTCCGCCACTGCATTTTTAACCTTATTCCGCCGCGAATGCGATTATGCGACCGTGAAAAAAATCCGCACATAATCTCTCAATTACCCCACGTGAGCTACAGTCCCTTGCAACCGAATATGCCCAAAGTTCCGAACGCACCGAGTACGCGCGAGGACTCGCTCTTCAGCAAAGAAAAATATCTGTTGCTGTTCTGACCAAAAAAAAAACAAATATCTGGCTGAAGATATTATCTCCCGGCTGACGTGGCACCTGCTGATACAGAGAACACGTGTAAAGAGCGCGCCATCTGGAGCCTTTATTGGCCCCAACAACAACAAAAAGCCCTTCTCTCTCTCTCTACTCGTATTGTTCACGACCTCCCCGGAGTGAGAGCGAGAGGGTTTTTTTTTTTTCTGCTAAATTTTAGGAGCACATTTTTTCTTTTGCTCTCTTTTCTCTTCCGAGAGCTTTCAGAAGCGAGGCCGTTTCGCATTCCGTCCGATCAGAGAGGTGAAGAGCAGTGATGGGAGAGAATATCCGGGAGAATATTCCGCTTCCGAATTCGGATCCCGAGCGCCGGCCCGAGTTGACTCGGACCATCTCCAACTCCTCGTCGTCGTCTTCGTTCTCCTTCACTACTCTTGACGCTTCCGAGGAGCTCCCGCTTTGTTCCTCGCATGCAACACTGGTAGATTCCATTTTCTTCAGTTTCCTTCCTCTTTCTTGCTATTATTTCTTCTGATTGACTACCTATATTTGTTTTTGCGTTAATATTTATGGATGATTATTTGTTATAGTTGCTGCTTTTGCTATTTTGTGAGATATAGTGTATTTATTGAAGTTTGATTGGTTGAGTTTTTTTATAATGAATTTTTTCAGGTAGATATTCAGATTGTGAGATTTGCGAGCTGTTTTCTGATTTAGGACCGTCATTTTGTGTTTTGCATGTCATTTTTTAGAATAAATTTTTATTTTTTCAAGTATTTATCTTTGGTCTATTTACTGTAAATGAGCGTTTTAGATGAAATATACAGAAGAATGAGATCTCTACATTTATGGTGCTGGTGTCAAGTTATTTTGAGCTGCAGTAGATTCATAGTGATGAAGATAATTTGTGAACTCTTTCGTTAAGGCTTATATTTTATGCAAGGAAATTTGAGTTGAGAATTGAATCAAGATTGGATGTCACATTTTGAATGCTTCCTTTAACTGTGACAGTTAGCTGCCTATTTAGGACCATAACAAAAAAGAATTAAATTTGTTGGAGTCGGAGATATGGAAGCATTTTTGCGCTTTCTGTTTTCCTTGATAGGTAATTTATATGGATGTTATTTCCGGTCATTTTTCCTTTTTCAACTTTTGCTTTTGGTTTGACGCAGTGGAGTTTTGTGTTTTACAAAACTTATTATGAAATCTTTGTTATAATAAGCCACTGTCATGTATATAATAGGACTCAACCTATCTTTTTCTAGAAATGAAATGGCATGTGTTACAGGTGCTTCTTTTCATGGTGGTCAGAGGTTTTGGAGACAACTTCTCATAGTATTCAAAATAAAATTTTCCTTTAGATTAACGCAGAATGTGACTAGTTGGAAAGAATTGTGATTCATGCAAAAGGTGACCAGCTGAAATCAAGAATCTGGGACCAGGCAGCGGCTTCTAGTGCAGCATAATGCCTAAGAGAACGTCACGACCCCTCCCTCTGTGCAGTTTCGGGAAATACGGTTAAATGGATAAGGAGGTGGCTAACTTTGATTTTTTGGGTGGTACATGAATTGTAAAAAACAAAAGGTTTGAGAACTTTACCTCCTTATCGATTCACTTAGATCTTTAGGGAAAGGTGATGTATTTGAAGAACAGTCTAGAGAACAAGAAACAAAAGGTTGAGAATTTTATTTTTCAATCCATTCAATTAGATCTTTAGTACCTGTTTCTTTGGTTATGTTCTCAAATAATATTTTTTGAGAATAGTTTAGAGAACGGCAATAAATATTGGGAACATGCTCTTTTCTTGTTATTGCTTTATCAAGAAACAGAGACATTTAATTATCATTTTTGATGTTCTGAAAGGCTGCTTAGATAATCCTGTAGAACAGATGATCCTTCTGAGATGATCGGAGCATCCTGAAGAATGAAATCCACTTTATCTCAACAAGATTCCCAATTAACTAGTAGATATCTGTGCACCAGATAGCATAATACATTTTATACTGGTGTCTAAATCCTTTAGAGATCAATGTAAAACTATTGAAAAGTAAATTGTGATATATATTAGACATTCTCAACGGAAGAATGATGTTGACCATTGCAAGAAGATGACCTCTCAGAATATGGTGAAGGTCAGTGCAGTAATTAATTTTTGTTACATGTAAGTTAATATATTTTTCCAAAGAGGATAAAACGATTTGAATTAAGGGGTATATGGCAGAAGGTTTTTTAGTAGACGAACAGTCAATGATCAATTTATTTCTAGTGTGAGAGATGACATGCTCATGATAATCTATATCCACAACTCGATTGAGTTGATTGTGTCATGGATTTTAATCTCATCAAATTAAGGGCTGAGATCTTTGAGTGTTTTATGTTTAGGAAGTAGACTATTTCCTTGATTTATAAAGCATTGGCAGTCAAATTCCTTTCGTATTAGGGTTTTGTAGAGGTCCCTGGTCCCCTGGACTTGAGGAATTTGATTTCACGTTGAAGTGTAACAAAAATAAATCTGTAGCTTTTTACTGAGACCAGTATGTCTAATATTCTTTTTCTCTCAATAATCTGGAATATATAATTCCCGAATGCAGGTTCTTTTTTATATATGTTTAGACTTTGACACCGATGATGTTCCATTGCAGGGTGCATCCACAGAGTGGACAAATGAAAAGCACAATTTGTATCTTGATTCTTTGGAAACATCATTTGTTAATGAATTGTACCATTCCATGCGTTTGCGTGACTGGCATCAACAAAAGAATGCTCGAGGGACACGTTCATTGCAAGAGGTCTCATTCAAGACTCAGAATTCTTCTGACCAGGTCAGAGTCAAATCTGCTATATCTCTTTTGGTTGTGTGTGAGCATGTTGGTAATGGCCCATTTTGGTCATCTCGTTCATTATTTTCTTGGGTTATTCGCAGTTCAAGGTTGTTCAAGATGGCTGCTTGCAGAAGATCAACCTTCGAAGGAATGAAAGATTGATGGAAAGCACAGCTAATTCTCATGTTACTATGAGAAGTCCATGCAGATGTCATTATACTCTTGCAGGCAAAAGCTGCACTGTTTCATCTCCTAAGACGTTGACTTTAAAAAACTTACATGCATCAGCAAGAAGTTCAGAGCAGAACCTAGTATGTCATCAGGATTGGGTTGGCAATATTACAGGTACTCTGACTCACTTTGCTTATTTAGGAAAATTCTTTCCTTTCATCTCCTAATAATTGATATGCTCTTTCAGAATTTTTTCCCTTCCAAATTTCCTTCCCTGTCACACCCCCCCATATGAGCGGCTACACAATGTGAATGCACGTTAATGCGAGATACAGAATCGTGCAAATAAATGTGTTTTGTTCTCCTGGATACTAAAATTAATTGCTATATTTGTGCACTGGTAGTAGTTTGACTAAAATTAATTGATCTTTCCACGTTCCCCAGATTAATAAGCCTCATGGTATATGTCTTCTGGTCATGTTGCGCTTACATATACGTTTATGCCTACACATACTTGCATTATAAATATACAAATTTTTCTGAAAGTTTGTTTTTTTTCTTGAGTAAATTAGTAGCTACTTTTACTTTTGCTGAAGCACACGTCCACACATCACAAATACGAACATGTAAAATATATTTTCTGAACTTTACCCACCCTTTCGCTAGATGGTGATTGTGAGCTCTGTTGACATTACATAGCATCATTGTTTAATGTGTGTGAACTGGCCACTGCGTATTGAGAATTCAATCATATGCTTTAATAATTCATGTGCTTCATTTTTCTTTTTTGGGTTTTGATCATTGTCTCCTCACAGAAGTATCTGGTCAGAACTTTGTGGATGAAGACCATGGAGGGAAGCTAAGCAATGCATCGAAACCAAAGAGGCTTAAAAGAATTGCAGCTGATGCTTCCAGCAATGATCAAGTAATGTCTACAATTAACACAAAAAGGGAAAAAAAACAATATTTGGAATAAATTCTGCATATTGATCTTGCTTTACTTATCCCACATAAGATCCTGTGATTATTGTTCAGTCTTAATTGTTAGGGTTCTCATTTTGTATTAATTTCCTCATGTGCCTTATCAGATTGTGCCATCAGAAAATTTTGATACGAAAGAGGTTTCAATGGCCCATAATGTTCTCTCTGAACAAGGGCATAATCTTCGCTATTTCTTAGGAGGAAGCTGAGATACAACTTAGTACTGAAGTCTGACAGGTAAGCAGTATCGATACATCGAAAGAATGGAGATATGGTTATACTTTCCATTTTCTCCTATTTGAAGATGCCAAATGCAAAGGTTGATTCTATCAGTAGCTATTCTTGTTGTGAATGGTGTTCGGGGTAACGCTACCATTGGACTTTGGGCAAAAGTCCACAGGGAAGAAATTATATCTGTTCAGCGATATGCTCTTCATCTTTTAGGATTGGTAGATATAGGATTTATGGAGTAGATTTAGTTGATGAGTACACATCGATTACAGGGGTCTATCTGGTCATTTGCTGTTCCTTTTCTCTGTTTTTATTTTTTTATTTACTGCATTTCAAGTAGAACAACTTCTAATAGATATAGAAGATCCGTAGTACAATTTTGGGCTGTATGGCAGATGTCTGGATTTCATGCGGATGACCTGAGAGGTGTCAATCATGTCCTGTTAAAAGAAAAAAAAGGTGTCAATCATGTCCTCTTCCACAATCATGGAATTCCATTGTTATGAAATTACAAATTTATTATGTTATGAAATTCTAATAAATTTCCATTAGACCCATGATCTATCGCCTCAGTGCGATTTTAGAATTTTATATTATCTTCGTTTGTCTGATCTGATTGAGTTTGAGTATATAACACACTTGCTGTAATTACAGAATTTCCAATTTGTGTCAGCGACTTGCCGCCGCCTGCCCCAACAACCCCCCTCCCTCCTCCTCCTCCTCCTCCTCCTCCTCTCTCTCTCTTTAATTTTTAATTTTTTTAATTTATAAATATTTTTTATATATAAATTTTATGAAAAGTTTTCCTAATCTTTCCAGCACGTTTCCATGAGTTTCTTAAATATGATGGGTACCTAACCCTGTTCTACTACTTTATCATGTAGAAGCCTAATCCAGTTATTGTAATTTGTGGATTATTTAAGTAACTAAGATTCGGTTTTTTAATATATGGGGAAGGGGGATCGGAGTTAGACCTCTTTTAACATTGAGAAGAGAAGTATGGCTATAGAAAAAGATAGTTTGCAAGTCAAGTATTTTCTATTTGGATCATTGATTAAAAACAAAATGTTAAAGAAAGAATAACTATAATCCGGACACATCTGTTCTTAATCCTAGGAGCACTTTAATAATCCCATCCAGAGAAGTGTGTCAGGATACTCGAGATATGCTTAAAGTAAAAATATAAAGTCCAAGTCAAATGCGATTATTGTTCAAGTTCTGCATGTGTGTTTGCGGTAGATGCTCTAAACTCCTTCAGCTACAAGTCCTTTGTTACTATTAAATATTTTTTTAAACAAAAAATTATGTTTTGCCCACACTTTGCTTACATGGCTTCCGCGTCCACAAAAATGCATGACCCACATTATTTACATAATCAGTTAACATAATTTTGTTCAGGTGGTAATTGCATACAAACCTAAATGCATGTGCAAATCTCTATATAGTTTTTTTTATAAATTTTTTAAATTTATTCTTTTGAGGGCTTTTCCTAGTGAGAGGGGTGATTGTATCTTAAACTCACACATATTACACGGATGCTAGGATTCGGATCCAAGACCTTGACTGAGAGAGTAATTACTCCAAATCACTACACTAATGGGTCATTTGCAATCTCCATTTAGTTTCTTATATCAACTAACTGAAATTAACAAGATGAAACATAATATTAAATGATGATATTCAATAAAAAAAATACCAATAAAAAGAATTCATAAAAGCAGTTTGATTCGGTTTAAGCGGTTTCCAAATAGATCAAATCGAATTTAACCAAACAAATTATGATTTAATTTGATCCGATCTAGAATTACATTTCTTTTATGGCATGTTTACTTTCCAACAAAATGGGTAGTAAAAATAAAACCAAATCGGGGACATGGCTAGTTTGAATTGTTGGGCCGGTGTCGTTACAGTGTTTCCATCTTTTGTCGAACAAACAAAACAAATGTTTTCATTGCTTCTCCTCCAAAACAAAAACAAATTGAATATTCCTCATATCTCATCCCACTCTTCAATCTTGTAGTTGACTTGCAACTAAAGAAAAATCAACCCCTCCCCTCTCTCCCCTCACCAATGAAAATCATTTGATTAAACCCAGTTCTTCTTTTCCATCGAAGACCGCACCAAACCCCGTTATGTTCCTTTGCTGAACACCACACACAGCCCCCATTACAAGTTGCTTCCTTCATTTTCTCTTCTTCGGGAAAGACAGGACGACCCAGAAAACTGAGTGATTGATTTTGTTTGATGGGCGTGTTTTGGACTCAAAGAGGCTCGAGAACAGCGACGACCCAAGAAGGCTTACCGGTCTCTGGTGGGATTTCAACGGCGCCCAAGAGAAAATGGTCCAATCTGATGCCTTTCTTTGTGGCCCTTGTGGTCATAGCAGAGATCGCCTTCTTGGGTAAGCTTGACATCGCAAAGAACACAGCTTTAGTCGATTCGTGGGCCGACTTGTTCTCCCCGGCTCCGTTGATTCATGAACTGGCAGTGGAGAGTGATGATTTGGGCTTGCTGAGTTGCGAGGAGTGGTTGGAGAGAGAGGATGCTGTAGAGTATTCCAGGGATTTTGAGAAAGAACCCATTTTGGTTTCTGGTGATGAGAAGGTATGTGCAGTTTTTATTAGTCGTTATATTTTTGATATGGTGTGTAATTGTGTTATTATTTCTGTGTAACAATGGATGAAGTAGTTGTCTTTTCTTTTTAAAATGGTTTTTCTGGTTGATTAAGTGGTATCCTTAATTGGGGTTTAGTTGTTGAAAGTGGGGCAGTGGTGTGACTTTGAGAATGATGACATCTTCTTCTGTAATGTCAATTATACAACATTACAATTTTCATGACATGAGTGAGCAAAACAGTACGAGTTTGTATTACTGCAAGACCTTACACGGCTTAAGTTATTGATCCTTGTCACTCTAAGCAGGATATGAAGTTTGATATTTGCTTCTGGACTGCATTATGTTAGTCTTGCCTAGTTCTTAAAACTTGAGCTATCGATCCTTGACACTGAAATCAGGATGTAAAGTTCGATATTTGTTTTTGACTGCATTATGTTAGTCTTGCCTAGTTCTTATCATGGTTGAATGTCGTCTAGCGGCGGAGGACCTAGGCCATTTTAGTCTTTTAGTTTAGTTTTTTTGGGTTTGATCTCCATCTTAAAAAATCTTGTTGGGTAAAATGAACAAGAAATATTTGGAGTTGGCAGTGCTTGAGAGAGAGAAAAGTTGACGCAACTTACAGCAGTTGACAAATTGTGACAGTATCATAAAAATGAGGTATTTGTACGTGACATTGATAGTTCTAATTCTCCCTTAGGTCCTGGAAATAATCCTTAAAAGAAGACTTAGTATTTGTATTGAAATGGGCCTCTCTGTCATTTTTAATATTTCAGTAGAATGAATTGAGTCTTCGTTCTTGGGACTTCAACATGGAGTTTTGGGATATAACCGACCCAATTGCTTTTGGTTCACTTCTGTACAGGAATGGAAATCTTGTTCTGTGGGATGCCAGTTTGGATTCAATCCCAGCAAAAAACCTGATGCTGCTTTTGGCTTAGCTCACCAAACTGGGACAGCCAGTGTTCTCCGATCCATGGAATCAGCTCAATACTATGCAGAGAACAATCTTGCTTATGCACGACGGTGGGTAAGCACAAACAAATATGGCCTTATTGCATTTTTAGAAGAATTTATCTTTTCTTTTCTAACATGTAATCCCATTCTCATATGAATTGTAAATCTTGTACAACGTATTAAGCAAATCTTCCTTCAATGCTTTCAAGATTTTTTTAGGCTTGTTTTCTGGCAAAATGTACCCTCAAATTTGAAATGCTGAAATATATTGTTTGTCGATACAACATTAAACATTGGTGGAAATGTCTCATATGTCAATAGTCTAATTGTCCAATCATCCTGAAAGAAACAAGGTGTTCATGATTTCCATGCTTTCTCCAAATTACTTTCATTAGTTTTTAAATATTTTTTTAAACATGAATTTAATTCTGCATCTTCTTTTCCTGATTAAACAAGCATTTAGGATAAGAAAAAGGATTCCTCAAAAAAAGAAGAAGGAAGTAGCAGGGAATACTTTTAACATACTTCTCATTCTTTGGCGTTTTTGGCCGTGCAGCTGTTTTAGGCCATGAGCATAACCTACATGATGGTATTACTTGTAATTATGTCTATTAACTATAAGCTGAAGTGTGCTGGTGGGATAATTGTATGTAGCCATTTATGTAAAACTTGTTTGTATAAGTAATAGTTTAAACTTTTATTTTTTATTTTTTCTGTGTACTAGGAGGGGATATAATATTATTATGACAACCAGTCTCTCCTCGGATGTTCCAGTTGGATATTTTTCTTGGGCTGAGTACAACATCATGGCACCTGTCCAGCCAAAGACTGAGACTGCCCTTGCAGCTGCATTTATTTCCAACTGTGGTGCCCGCAACTTCCGCTTGCAAGCCCTTGAAGCACTTGAAAGTGCTAAGATTAAGATAGATTCTTATGGTGGTTGCCACAGAAACCGTGATGGAAAAGGTGTGGACATTTCACTGATGATTTGTAAAGTAATAATATTGTGTTTTTGCTCGTTTCCTTCCATGTTAAATCATTAGAATCTGGATTCTAACTTCCTTTGCTTGCATGCTTTCATAAGTTGTCATGCTTGCTTGGCACGTCATACGAAGTTTGCGACTAACTGTGGTTCAATTGTTGTGGCCTTGTTTTGTTTATGGTTGAAAATATTCTGCGTTGGCTTCATACTGGCTTGTAGATAATACAATTTATTGTGTTTTGAGGGGAGGTCTAATCTTATCCAATGCTTGGTTGTTTGGTCTGAAATAGATTAACAGCCACCCTGATAATATTTTTTTCCTTTCTCCATGGCTATTTATTTGCTTATAAATTATTTTCCCTCACCATAAGGAGATATATATTTTAAGTTGGACTTTCTAAGAAAAATTTCTTGGTCTAATGGCTAGGCACCTTACCAATCAGTTAATGTTGCTATAATGTGATAAGTCAGACCTATATTGATACTGGTGTCCCTTAAACCCGATGCATGTGCTTGGATAGTATTGTTATTTTTTCTGATTATGTTCAGTAGTTCTAATTTTGCAATCACGTTGGACTTTATTTCCATATATTGGCTAAATTGTTGGCATATTGAATGAAATGCAGTAAAAGAGAAAAGAAGATAAATATCACAATCTTTTGTGGAGATGTCATTTGTATCTTCACTAAAAAATGGTTACAACCTTTTTGGGTACACAGAGTTTATAGATTTTGCTCTTTACGGTATATACATGTGGTTGGCTCTATGAAGATGCTGTGAAAAATCTATTGAATCAATCTTTGATTTTGTTGGGTGTGTGGCAACAGCGAACGGTGAATGGTCTTACTTGAATGATTAGAATATACTTGCATGCATGTGTACAACATTTGCAGAGTAGGATCTTTTGGGGGATAAACTGATATACTATGTTTTGGTTTCTTTAATGTGATAAGATATATATGATCTGTTGGTATTATATCTTCTTCTTGTTAACATTTACGCATGGTAAATAATTTGTTTTTTCTTTGTTTTTATAAATAAATCTAGCAGTGGACAAAGTTGAAACTCTGAAGCGCTATAAATTTAGTTTGGCTTTTGAGAATTCCAACGAGGAGGATTATGTTACTGAGAAATACTTCCAATCTCTTGTTGCTGGTATGAAACTACTGTCTCTCTCTCTCTCTCTCTCTCTCTCTCTCTCTCTCTTGTTGTTTTTGTAGTTTCAACCTGTAATATGGGAAAATTTTTATGAAGGAAAAAATTCAGAGAACCGTTGCTTGATTTTGTGTAAATCTTGGTAATATTCTATAAACAAATTTGAGAGATTTCAATATAGATGGAAGACTATTAGTGTGTGCCTTCATCTTTGATTTTGCGATGTGTTGCCTCTAACGTCTGTAAGATTTCGTGGGTTCCATTCTCACATTCAGTATAAGGAATATTTTCATGCATAAGGAGGAATATTGCATTTCAGCTGCCAAAAGAAAAATTCTCATCTGCATACTCAAGTTCGGGAATAATCCTGAGATTGCATGCTGACATCTTTCTTTCAGGGTCTATACCTGTGGTGGTTGGAGCTCCGAATATTGAAGATTTTGCTCCTGCTCCTGGTGCAGTTTTACATATTAAGGAGATAAACGATGTTGAACCAGTTGCCAAGAGAATGAAATACCTTGCAGATAATCCTGAAGCATATAATCAGTCATTAAGGTCAAATTCTTTTTCTTATCTAGTTGAAAATGTTATCTTCCAAATCCTTTGGTTTTACGTGAAAAGAACAGAATAATGGTCATTATTATGATCATTAGTTGTTTTCTTTCTCTTTTTCTTCTTTTCAGTTGCATGTTTTTTTTTAAAAAAAAAATCTCAATTTTGTTTCTTTATGAAGTTTATATGAGATTTTTAATGGTTAGGTGGAAATATGAGGGTCCATCCGATTCCTTCAAGGCCCTTGTGGACATGGCAGCAGTACATTCATCATGTCGTCTTTGCATTCACCTGGCAACGATGATTCTCGAGAAAGAAGAAATGAGCCAAGGGTCCAAAAGTCGACCTTGCAAGTGCACCAGAGGCTCAGCAGTTGTCTATCACTTATATGTAAGAGAAAGAGGGAGGTTCAAGATGGAATCTATTTTCTTAAGGTAACTTCATTTCCCTAGTATCAGTTACCACCCCACCTCTTACTGCAATACTGGGGTAACCTCACCATTCTTAACTCATGCTGAAAGATTACCGGCCAGCTCGTTTTGATACAGAACAGGAGTGAAAGAGAAAGTGAAAACTAGTTGTGTCATTTCTCTAAAGTTGGAGCAGGGGAGGCGCATCATTAACTGCCTTTTATTTTAGCTTTCTGTTGCGTTATTGCATGTACTTTAGACAGCATGGTTAAAGATAAAATAAGTACTTTTGTCACCACACAGTTTCGAGAAGCCCCCTAATTTTTATTTTATTTTTATGTTCCCAAAATTGGAGAAAAATCTTATTTGTAATTGTTCTGGGCAGGTCTGGCAATCTGACTCTTGGAGCTTTTGAGTCTCTGGTGCTCACAAAATTCAAGTCTCAGAGACATGTGCCGATTTGGAAAGAGGAAAGACCTAAAAGCATAAGAGGAGGAGACGATTTTAAAATATATAGAATATATCCTGTTGGCATGACACAGAGGCAAGCCTTATATACCTTCAGATTTAATGGGGATGCTGATTTTAGAAGACATGTTGAAAGCAACCCATGTGCAAAGTTTGAAGTCATACTTGTTTAGTGCGAAAAATATAACATTATGTCAACTTTAAGAATGGATATACTGATTTTAGCAGTTCTCTATTGATAATATTTGTCGGGAGATATTGACGTGATCTCATTTGGGCAATTTGTTATGCCCTTTTGTGCACGCTGATTGTTACAGGAGTCAGTGAACTGCAAGATCTTTAGGGAAGGTGCCATAGATTATTGATGGCAAGCGCATTTGTGCAGCTAATTGTGGACCCTTTACACCAGGTGAAGGAAAAAAAACAGAGTTGTAGTTCAGATTTTAACCTATTTGGTGGGAGATTCTAATCTTCCCTAGTGGAGTTAATCAAGGAAATTGAAGGTTTTTTATTTTTTTTATTATTTTGCTCTTAGTTCATTAACAGTTGGTGGTGGGCAAATATTTCATTCAAAGAAAAACAGTTTCCGGTTTCAAGTACTGAAAACAGTTTTTTTTTTTAAAACCCAAAAAACTGGTTTACAATGAAGAGAAATTGTAAAAGGCAGTCTTATAGACGCATAGAACCATAGTTGTTTTTGAATCTTTTGGAGGATAGATAATGTATCATGATGCTATATGATCGTTCTGGAAGTTGGAATTTGAATTTGACATTCGGAGATTCTGAATAATATTTTTGTTAGGTTATGAATCAGTTCAATGACGCGAGTATGATGTTACTTGCAGTCTAGTAAAATAGCACATGATTGTCAGTCGAGAAATCTTATTATGGAGATATTGCAAAATCCTAAGTTTGTATAAGTTATGCTTTGAAATATACAATTTTTTTTTTTCATTTTCGAGATGAAAAATGAATTGCAATAAGATTACAATTGTCAGGTTAGATTGGGTTGCAACAAAGAGAGATTACTTAACAAAGTGAAATAAGAAAATTATATAAACAAGTGAAATGAATGTTGTTTGGAATGGGGTTGTTACAATTTAGTTTATATAGCAAGCGGTCGTGGTGTGTTAAGGATGTGGGTTTAGAGGAGCTGGCTCTGGTGAGCCACGGCCGATCCATGAGTGAAGGCTGGGAAGGAGCTGACGATCCAAGTCTTTTGGCACGCGTAGAGAAATCCGAACATTACCGGATTGAGTCCTTGGAGAATACAATTGTCAACAGAAAGGTTCTTGTTGTGCTCGGTTCAGCCATGGCAAATGCGATGAGATTATCTGAAATTTTTGTGAGTGTGAGGGCAAAGCATTTTAGAGAAGCCAGAGGGTGGGCGGGGCTGGGGCTGCGGGAGTTGGGGAGGGTGGGGAGTTGGTGCATCTAGTATTATTGAATGGTTATGTGTCATTAGTTTTCCCCAATATCTTAACTCCATGTAATTGCACATTTGTTTTTTTTATGTATTTGTAGTTACTGTAAGATTTGAGCGGGGTTGTTAGACTCAGAAGTTTGTTTATGCAGTTTTGTTTATGAGCTTCGGCTCCTTAGAACCCAAAAAAGAAGAAGAAAACATCATAACTCAATTTATTGGTGCTCTAAAACAAGTCATAACCTTCATCCTAAAGATATGTTAACAATCATATCATTCTCGTTTATATATAGCCCTCGTATAAATGTGACTATGATAACATCTTGTGAAGTAAAAATTATAAACTGTTCTTATTGATCTAGATAATATAAAGGCTTCTCGATGAATTGGTCACCCAATTAACCAAAAAAACAAAGCTATGACGATGATAAATTGTAATTGTCTTCAGAGATAAAGCTAGAAATAATAATGTTAAAAAATTCAACAAAAGAATTAACACAAACGACTTAATGTTATTAGCTCATAAGTAAATTGTATGCACCATTGAAATAAACGGAACGTGTGGCATTATGCTTGGGCCTAGTGCCCGTTTGTTAACCAAAAAGTGTTATAAACTGAGGTTAGAATGGCAATGGGGTGAATCGGGAATGCGTATGTCATTCCCATCCCCATTAAGCTTTCTTTTCCTATCCTCGCCTCTATTCTGTAATATTCAAATTGGGGATTTTCTACTCTCGCTTTCATTGGGGAGCGAATCCCCCGTCCCGTCCCACCCTATTACAAAATTGCCAATAAAAAACAATTTATGAATGAGAAAAAAAAAAAAAGGTTAGAAACTAAACATACAATACAAAAGTTTTGTTCTAGACTTACATTTTTGTATGTATTATTTAATTCAGTAGGGCAAACTGATTAGTTTGGACAATTGATTAAATTGATTTTTGGACACTTAATAAGCAATTCTGGACTCTTAACTTTACATCCCATATGCCTTTGGTCCAGCATTGAGCCAGTTAAAAGTAAAAACCAAAAGGTAAATAATAATTATTGAAAAAAGAGTAAAAACGAAAAGAAAACCGCATCTCTCCCTCTTCCGTCTCATCTGCTTTCTCACAGACCTCCCTCTCTCTGCTAATTTGAGCTCTCATTCGCTCTCTGAAACCTTAAAGTCAAAAACCAAGCTGCCTAGGTTGCTCCACCATGTTCTTCCCTTAAAACCTCCTACTCTCCCTCTAAATTCAGACCCACCCAGAACCCATTATGCCCTTAAGTCTCTCACCGAACTCTCTCCATCCCTCCACATTGGCATTTGCTCAAATTTTTTCACAGAACTCCAACCTTACACAGCCATGGCTTCCACACGTGCTTCTTCGGAAGCGACCCGTGACCCGAATTTCCTGCGTTTCGACCCGACCCAAAAGAAAACCGGGAACGAAGACCGAGGACCCGGATGTCCGTGAGGTGGTTCGTATGCTCATGAGGAGCTTCAGTGACAAAGAGCCCTTGTTGAAGACGCTCAACAAGTACGTTAGGATTGTTAGAACTGAGCATTGCTTTCTGCTTTTTGAAGAGCTTGGGAAGAGTGACGAGTGGCTTCAGTGCTTAGAGGTCAGCTCTTTTTTCAATCTCTGCATTTTTAGCTTTTGAGTCTTTGAAATTGTTGAAATTTTTGTTGTGGTGTTTGTGGTCGTTGATATACCTTATGATTGAGCTTATTTGGTTTGTTTTGTGGAGCCCAATAATCGTTGAAAGCTTGATTGAACGATGTGATTTTCGTATATAGGCGTTGTGCATATTACGATATATAGGGAATAGAACGGCATGTGTTTATATTTGTAGAAATTAGGCATTTTTAAGTATAGTTTTTCACGTGTTAAATAAGGACAATGACAAATTTTTTTATAGGTTTTAAGAAATAGCTCATGGGTGCATGAAGCTTGACTATGATTTTACGAGTTTGGAGGATAAAAATATATGTATATCTGGACAATTTAGTTAAGTTTCAGTGAACTTGATGATATACAGCTAATTTGAACTAAGACGTGTCAGTTTCAATTTGAGCATTTTCTAGCAGCGATTATGATTGGATGAAAGGTAGCTTCACTTACATAACCCACACTCAGGTGTTCAGATGGATGCAAAAGCAGCGCTGGTATGTTGCTGATAATGGCGTCTATTCGAAACTGATTTCGGTTATGGGAAAGGAAGGCCAAACTCGGATGGCCATGTGGCTCTTCTCTGAGATGCGTAATAGTGGGTGTCGGCCTGATACTTCTGTTTACAATGCACTCATCTCAGCCCATCTCAACAGCAAGGACAAAGCAAAGGCTTTGGACAAAGCTCTCAGATACTTTGACAAGATGAAGGGGATGGAACGGTGCCAACCGAACATTGTGACATATAATATTCTTTTGAGAGCTTTTGCACAATCTCGAAATGTAGAGAAAGTTAACTCTTTGTTTAAGGATCTTGATGAGAGCATTGCTTCCCCTGACATCTACACGTATAATGGTGTAATGGATGCATATGGGAAAAATGGGAATATCAGAGAAATGGAATCTGTTCTTTCTCGCATGAAAAGTAATCAGTGCAAGCCTGACATCATCACCTTCAATTTGCTGATTGATTCATATGGGAAGAAACAACAATTTGATAAGATGGAGCAGGTATTTAAGAGCTTACTTCGTTCCAAGGAGAAACCAACACTTCCTACATTTAATTCAATGATCATAAATTACGGGAAGGCAAGGCTTAAGGAGAAAGCAGAAGATGTGTTCAAGAAGATGATTGACATGAGATACACACCAAGCTTCATAACCTATGAGAGTCTTATCATGATGTACTAGGGAGGTATTTGACAGGTTGGCTGACTCTGGAAAGGAGCTAAAAGTGTCAACGCTTAATGCGATGCTTGATGTCTACTGCATGAATGGTTTGCCCGTGGAAGCTGATAAGCTTTTTGTGAACGGAAATAATATTGGGGTGCGCCCAAATGTATCAACATATAAACTTCTTTATAAGGCGTACACTAAAGCCAACATGAAGGAGCTTCTAGAGAAACTGCTGAAGTGCATGGACAAGGATGGTATTGTCCCTAATAAGAGGTTCTTTCTAGAGGCTCTGGGAGCATTTTCTCTTCACCAGGGAGTCCAGGGTCCGTGACTGCGATCACTAGTTTGAGCAGGCCACAGGATGGAACAAAAACTTAGGTAGATATGGTTAATAACTTGGTTTGCATATTCTTCTGATTTTTCTTCTGTTAGACTCAGGTTCCAAGCAAAGTTAGAATATAAACAGAGTTTCTGTTTCCAGCATCAGATAACTGTGGCACGCGGAATTACATATTTACATAGTAAGTGGTATTTTCTGTGATTTAGTCTTTGTTAACACCATTCGTTTTTGCTTATGGTAAACTTTTAATTTGTATCTGCAATATGTTTGTTTGTTGGGTTTTATTTATTTATTGCTTTATGTCTTCAGTTATATTAAGTTTCTTATTTGCAGAGTTTCCCTGTTGTCATCTTAATTGACCCTTGTAATTCTTTCGTTTAGGTTTAAAGTAGATATCTTACTGAAATCCCAGACTATTTCACTAATCAATACTGCATGTGATCAGAACCCTAAAAGTTCGTAAATGTTTTTTTCTTTTGGTTGAAAAAATCTGGTTATTGGTGGAAAAAACGAGATTTAGAAAAACCTAGTGTTAAGGACAATGTTATTGATGAAGTTCGTCTTTCAGAATCAGAGCTGAAAATAGTACAGTTGTGCAGGAAAGAAATTCAAAACCAAAAGAAAGGAAAGAAAATTAAAATGTCATGATGGATACAATTCAGAATTACTTAGTAGAAGGTCAAGGTCTAGAAATTACCAAGTATACAGGTTAGAGAATGGCTGTGCTTATAATGAAAAACCCTAGCCACTATAGTGGGAATGCTTAGTCGCATATGAGTCATATGATATCTTTCTATCAGTTATTTTGAGGCGTAGAGTCCAAATTTGGTTTATCCACAAAAGTGAATTCAACTTACAGCTGGAGTAATTGTTTTGATTTTTTTTTTTTAACTTTTTATTTACTTGACTTCTTATATGCTCAAAAGTAAACAGTAGATGATTACTGTACCTTTGTGTAAGTGAAATTTGTTCTTGCCGAGGTTAGTTGCACCTTTTTTCTACAATGCAAATAAATATCTCCTCATTTAATTTCTAATCTAGAAATCTTTATTTGATCTAGGATCTCATTCCATCGACAGTAAACGATATACTGTAATAGTTAGTGACTCTCTCTCTCTCTACCTTGCGGCAAGCACAGGGACCTTCATCTTCTTCTCAAAAAATAGGTGCCTTCTTCATTTTTTTCCCCACTATTCAGTTTAGGTATATGCTTTTTTCTATAGTTTGTAGTGTTTGATTAACAGTTCATGAATGCTGTGTCATGACATATAGAATGTCTGTTGGAGAATGCAGAGCTGCCTATGCCAGAGTATATTCTCTCGTGCAATATTATTTCTGAATTCTGATAAAACTGTTTGCACTCAAGTTGTTGCTCAACACACGCATCTAATTTTATTGAATTATTGTATACAAAATACTGACAGAATTTTTTTCTCTCATCCTCTCATCTCTTCCCATCCCCTTCCACCCTTCTCCTCCTCCACCATTTTCCCCATCTCCCAGCCATGGCTGTCCATAGCCCAGGAGGGCCCCTCTAAACCCAGAGGCAACTCTGGTGGCTGCATGGCCCCTGGACATGGTTATTGTTATTGTTTTGGTCAACATGGTTGTTATTATTATTATTATTAAACACAATCTACATTAACTATTTAAAAATTGAAACAATTGACACCATAGTAGGGATGAAAGATCGCATCATTTTGATTTCATGTTCTTTCCTGCTTGTCAGTTTTACATAAATGTTTAATTTTTTCCATACTGGATTCTATTTTTTCAGAATTGATAAATGTCCGTAACACATAACATGACTGCAGGAGAATGCGAAGCCGCATTTAAACGACTTATAAGAACTGAAGCTAAGTGTTGTAGAAATTTATTAGAAAGAGTAGCAACCTTTCACTCCGGAAAGTTTTGGTTTGTATTATGTAGTTCATTCTTTTCTGTTCTTAACAATGTAACTGGTGATGACACTCGTCTATGGCCAGGGTGCTTATCTGTGTAAACCCCGATTGTTATATTGAATATACTGTGTATTCTTTGTTAACTTCTCAAATAAATTACTAGGCATTTGACATAATGCAGTGCTTTGCAGTTTAAGAGCATGTCACCAGGCTTTGGGCCGTAGCATTTTGGTGTAATCTCAATTGACAGCTTCCCTTGCTTGCTTGATTTATCTACCATTCATGTTATGCACTATTTCAATTAAATTGGACAAGTGTCTTGCTTAATGTCTTGGTTGTTTGGTAAACTTATAAATGCAAAAACACATACCAAAGTACTACAGCCAGCTAGCTTTGGGTTTGGATTTTGTTCTCAATTGGTTACCTGGATTCTATTTTAATTCCTAGGTACAGTTGTTTGTTTTAAGTCCATTCCCAAACCCAACTTTTGATGTGGCTCCAATAATGCCAATGCAGAAATACAATTCTGAACCCCACAACCGATACTTTCTGCCTGCTTATTTAGGTAACCTTATCCTAATTCCCTAGGGGTTTATATGTTAATCTACTTATCTATTTATAATCAATATTCATATTGTATTGTGTATCTTAAACCCTAAGGAATTAGGATAAGGTAACCGCATATAAGCAAATCCATTTCCAATAAGATTTAAGATAAATATTTACACCAGAACAAGGCAAAGACATCAGATTGATATATCCTCTAATACCACAGAGAATAAAGCCAAACCCCAAAAGTGAACTAGTCTTTTGCTTGTGACGGAATGCCAGCAACAATTCCAATATAAAGTTCTCTTCACAACGTATCAAATTCTTGAAAAATCAGTAATTAGAGGGTTTCCAAGCTCCATTACAAATGTAATACCAAGTTTTCAGCTATAAGAACATAATTACAAGCTCAGTGTGTATTCAATTACCAAGATGGTTTTCCCATTCCAAATTGCTCCTATACATATCCTTTTTTTTCTCCTTTGTCAACTTGACAAATCAAAACACAAGACGCTCTTCCTTAGTTTCCTCTATTTGAGCTGTTCATTAATGAAAAGTATTGGATGGAGTGAAAGGATGCGTAGCATCAAACTGATGGGAAATGCCTATTAAGGTTGTATGGCAATGAGTAGAACTCTTCACCCCTAGTATCTGAGCCAAAAATTTTGAACTTTTCCCACCAGTGCCTGCCACTATCTCTCCGAGTTGAGCCGTGTCGGCGACTGACAGTTTAGTCCAAGAAGAGAGCAATTATAATTGCCACTGTTGCTGGGGATAAAAAAATTACTTGCACTATATTGAACTGCAAGAGTAAATAACCAGCATTCTGGTGTTAGCACAGAGTTTTCTGTAAGACAACAGTGAATCTTTGAAGATAAATTGCAATTCAACTACTCACCCAAGTAGAACCATTTTGAACAGGACCATGACCAGAAGTTGCAAGGTATTCGTTAAAGTATTGGGGCGCAGAAAGACCCATGAAGAGCGCAAAGCCAACAATGAACTTTGACCTATAGCTGTTTAGGTGGCAGAACTGGAGCAAACCAAGACCAGAAGAAGCTGCACACCAAACAGTACATATCATCAAAATTTCAAATAGACAGGCTATATGTGACCAAGCATAGACAATAAACTGAGAATCATTCATAGTATGTTCACATAAACTAAAAAAAAAAAGTCAATAATACAGATTCATAGTTATGATATGGGAATGAAATGCGTACCAACATAGGCGTAGAGGACGCGATACAAAGCCGCCACAATAGGTAATCGTATAGAAGCAAGAACAGCCCCAAATTTTCCTGTGAATGACATAATTAATGATACCTGAGACCACATAATGTAAACAAAGTTAATAAGATGCTAAGCTCCTGCTTGCACTCACTCAGTTTATATCCTTATTCAGAAATTAAGTATCCAAATTAGATAAACAGTTAGCCCAGCAAAAATATAGAATATTCAAGATTTAGATTGCTAAACGGAACACCGAACCTAATACAGAGAAGAAGAGCATAAAGCCTGCCGATATTTGAATTACTCTCCGACTTCCAATATGCGTTAATCCCAAAAGACCTGCATTTTCACTGGAAAAACAGGGTAAGATCATTAGATCACATGTTTACACAATATGGCAAATATAGTTTCTTTCTTCTTTTTCTCTCTCAGTTAACAATTATTTCTTCTTTAGATATATTTTCACTAGAAAATGCAGTGAGCTAAAAGCCTACAACTAGGGCACCCACGCACTCAATGCACAAAACTACAGGCCCTTGTAATATGGATCGAGAACTGCGACTAATGTACTGTTCTACAGGATTATATGCAGACAAACTTATCCAACAATCGCATAAAGCAATCTCCAGATTTCGTATAAATCAGCATCTTTGCGCTTTGTTCATCTGTTTTATATGCCCGGTAATAAAAAATTGGTAAAGGTAATGTGGCATTCTAGCAATACTGGCTATGCACTTGTAAGCCAGTCAAAACCTTTTACAAATTGATTATGCACACTGTGTAGTTGAGTCAGAGAAGCATTTGTCCTTACGGAATTCTACAACGAAGGATGTCATAACTTCATAAGTTAAATATTTACACTGATGCCGTGGAGCCAGTTAATGTGCCAAATATGCCACCCAGAAACGTGTTTATGCCCTGAAATTTTTACAAGACCAAATAAGTGTCGCAGAACTAAGAATTACAAAGTGTCTAAAAATCTTACTCGAAAGTTGTGATTAACATGACAATTCATAGGACCACTTCCTACCTGCCAGCCAATACCTCTGCTGAGAACAGAAGGTGGTAGAGGGGTGGCACTCCCATATCTTGATGCCGCAATAAAGGCACCGGTTGACTGCCCCAAATGAAAGGGAGAAAGGATATGTCAGGGCAAATGAAAGTACTGTGTATTCATTTTGCAAACCTTTCATAGAGAATCATATTTCAAATAAAAAGATAGCATTTACATAAGACGAGAAAGTTACACAATGCATCCTTACAAATCACAAGTACATTTAATTTATATTTATTCTTTGTTAGAGTGTCACAAGTACAAAAGTTTCCTAAAGACATCTTAACAAGGATGTCTGGTCTACTTTATGTATATATACTATGTAAAATGAACATCTGTATGCATAATTGTAATCTTGAAGTATCAAAATTAGAATAGGAAATTCAATAAAGAAAACAAGAATGAACTTCAAAAGAGTTTACCTCAACAATGGCAACAAGAGCTGCAGCCATCATTGAAAAAGCATCCCCAACATTAAAATCAGGACGCCGCCATTGAAATGGATAGGGAACCCTTATCCTACATATGGTGAAAAAAAGAAACATTATTCAATGCCGTACTATAGTTTATCTCTCTATACTAAGAAAAATATTTATATAACTGTCAGGACTAAACTTCTGGAACATGAAACTAAATAGGAGTTTGGGGAATTGTTTATGGAGCCTGAGTAAATGACCTATGATAATCAGACTTCAGTTTTTGCTTTTATTCCCAAACAGAAAAAGAAATAAGATCCTATGATTACTCAAAACAGGACTTTAAGTTAGAACTTTAAGCTTACCAACGAGCAGAGCTAACAAGCCCAGAACGATCAGTGCGGCAACTTCTTTGAGTTATAGGAGATCTTTTGTCGTATGCACCAGCTGCAGTCAAAATTTCTGCATATACCCATACAATTGCAACAGAAAATAGTACTGCAAATCGGGGAAATATAGGCAGTTTTAACTTCATCGTGTACTGCAGTAACAAAGGTTAAATATTAGAAGAGAATTAATCAGAGTAGATATGCAGGATTTACATTCTATAAAACAATATAACTTGAGAAATTAATAATTAAATTGAAGATGACTGCAAGAGAATGATAGTTGAGGATTCTTCCTACCTGTGAAAGAAAAACCAGTGTAATCAATGCTGGTAGTCCTACTTCAACACAGTTTGCCAGCTGCAACCATCAAGCAGGAAGAAAGGATGTGATGATCCAAACAAAGCAATACCTCCATGTAGTTGAAAGAGAAACTAAAAAGAGTCTTTGAGATTAGAAGTTTAAAAGTTTTGCAAAACTACTCTCGACCACCTAAAGCGATATCTAAATAAAAATCAACCGGAGCTCATTTATTATAATATGTATAACAATGTTTCAGAACATTTCTTTATTCCTATGCAAGTTCAAGGAACACTAACTGACTCATACCTCGGATGGGCCCTGTCAATTTGGTGGCTTACCACCAGGCTTTCACATAGGCACAATCCCTTGGAATATGATCCATGTTAATTTTTACCCCAACATATCAGATTTGTTGACTTTACATGAATCAGAACTCATGGTGTGCATGAGGGAAAATAGAAGCAGCTTCATATATACTAATCATTTGCAACAAGCAATAAGGCAATGAAGGGTTCAGCATGGTTACCTGAGGGAAACCAAATACAAAGAACCCAAGTCCAGTACGCATCACAAGAGGAACTGCAGAGAGAGGGCTAAGAAACCTGCATCAAGCCACATCAATAATCAAGTTATTTCTTACACACGGTAATAAGTAATAAGCACATCATCAGATTCTAATAGCTTTAGTGCCACAACCTACCTCCCAAAAATTCTCACAAACCCCAGAAAGCCAAGAATCATCTGGAAGAAAGATGCAACTATGACTGCTCCTTGTATTGCTCTCATGGATTGTTTAAACCTCTAACAAAGCATTCAAAACCCATAAGAAAGACCATAAGTACAAATGAACTAAAAAATACAGGACATCATATCCATCAGGCTCCTTTATAAGTCATCAAACATGAAAGAAAGAAAGAGTACATGGTAATCATTTCCAT